CGCCCCTGGCCGCGGCCCCGCGGTTGTGTCCGCGCCCGCGGTGCTGCCTCTCACTCTGCGTGTCTCCTAGAACGACACGGTGACCATCCGGACCAGGAAGTTCATGACCAACAGGCTGCTCCAGCGCAAGCAGATGGTAAGAGCTGCGAGGTGGCTTCGGGGACATGCGGCTGCCAGCTCGGCACTAACACAGCTTTCAGTTACTGGCATTAACAACTGCTTAACCTTTTCCTTGAGATCTTTTTGTAAAAGCAGGTATTTAGATGCTTTGGTGCATGTTGAGGGTAAATTTCAAGGACGTAGTAAGGGCTGGCTGGGATGTTTTTACTAATTTATTGTTGGTAACAGTTGAGCTTCAAGCCAGCAATTCTCCTTGCTGCTGAGGTGGATGTTGGAGTGCATGGGCGTGGGGTTGTAAAGTCTGCCCGTTAAAATGCCTCTTGGTCTGTTTTGTACTTAATGTGACTTGTGAAAACTTCTTCTTAGGTGATTGATGTTCTTCATCCTGGGAAGGCCACAGTGCCCAAAACAGAAATCAGGGAAAAGCTGGCAAAGATGTACAAGACAACCCCTGATGTCATTTTCGTCTTTGGCTTCAGAACTCACTTTGGTGGTGGAAAGACAACAGGTTTTGGCATGATCTATGATTCCCTAGACTATGCAAAGAAAAACGAACCAAAGCACAGGCTGGCCAGGGTAGGTTTTGCTTTTAATGCAGATGGACTTGGTGTTCTGCAATTCATAGCTTAGACCTGTGGAAGACTTGTGGAAGCAGTGTTGTGTGGAATGGAGATTGAAGTGTTCTGCAAGTGCTCGTGTAGTTTAATGTGTGTGTTGACTAGCGTGAGGTTTTTGTAGCATGTTGGAGGGGACCTGGGGAAGGCAAAACAGATGTCCCTGGATAAGCTTAGTATTAAGAAATAACTGTAGGGATATTGATGCTTTTGAAGAATTAAGGCACAGGAGATGGGACTGGTATGTATCCAGTATCAGATGTTATATGTTGTCTTACATTGACTTTCTTTTGATAGCATGGTCTGTATGAAAAAAAGAAGACTTCTAGGAAACAGCGAAAGGAGCGCAAGAACAGGATGAAGAAAGTCAGAGGCACAGCCAAGGCAAATGTTGGTGCTGGCAAGAAGGTAGGATGAAAATGTCTGTGAGCTGAAGATGTTGCCTTAGAAATGTTGATAAAAAATTCAACTGAATAACTTGGTTTTTCTTCCTGTTTCTTTCACTTTTTCTACGGGATAACAGAAGGTAATCTGTGTGGTCATGTATAGCTTCCTGTTGGCTCAGTAGTTTAGTTCAGCTCCTCCCTGCTGCAGCTTAGCTTATACAGCATGAAACAGCCCTGCTTTAAATAATTTTTTGTGTGTGCGCGTGTCACTTCTCCAACTGAAGTTACATATTTTTCAATTTACTAAAAGCATTGCTTTAATGCCATAACTCAGCTATGCAATATAAAAATCTGATGCACTTTCTTAACACTTGTTTTTTCAGTCTATCTGAATATCTTAACACTTATCCCACCAAGATATAATGTTCCTAGTAGTGCTATAAAGGAGATTTTCTTAGGGTTATGTGATGTGCTAGGTGGTGAGGCTTGTGTGGTAGCTCAAGTAGGGGAAGGGTAAAATGAGTCCTGCTTATTCATCTTGAGCAACTGATGCATACTTTTGGGGGGTTCTGGTGGTAGCTAGCATTGTATGACAAGCATGAAACTTGGGACTGAGTTCCTTCCATCAAAAAAGTGAAAGCTGAAGAATAATCTAGGAATAGCCAGTCTCTTCGTCAACAGCGGCAGAACTTCCTGCAATATGGAGAATAATTGAGTAAGCTTTGCAACCAAACACTTCAAGGGAGGTAGGATGATGGGTATTGATCTAGCTGCTATAAATTACTTTTAACATCTTGAGGTTTAATAATCTTTACTCTTGCTTTTTTTCCTACTTTCTTGGAATTCTTCATCAGAAATGAAGTATCTAGCAGGTACTGAAAAGATGAGCATGGATGTGGTGACCGAGTTATATATATGCACATAGAATATCATTGAAACACTTAATCCATTCTTTTAGTGTAAGCACTGTACTGTTTTGCCTGCCTACACATTTCCATTAAACCTAATTCTGGCCTGTAAGGGCTCTAATAACTACAGAAATCAGCTTGATTCTATACAACTTAAAATATGTTTGGGTGATAGCAAACACTACTTTTGATAAAAATAAAATAAGTAGTTCACGCTGAGAAACTAAATGGCTTCATTTGAGACATTGGGTCAAAACTGCACAGATGATGGTTCAAAGTAGTACAGTGCAACTGCATGTGTAATTTGACCTTTATGTTCAAGTGATTCATATATGCTAATGAAAATCAAATCATATGCCAGCTTAGTGCATTTGAGATGGTTGTTGAGAATCAAACAACTCTCTGGTTTTAACTCTTGATCTGAGGTTTTCTGAATTTTAAGGCACAAATTGTAGTGATTTGTCTGTGAAGCTAGATTCTCCTCATTTAAAAAGAGCACAAATCTCCCAAGTTACATTGTTGGATGGCAATAAGTGAGAATTGCTGCTACCTGCTAGGTGGGACTCAATGCCTTTCCTTTCTCGTCTTCTGCTGTTTACAATGTAACAGTAGAAAGGTTGACTGTAGCAGCAGCCTGTAACATGCACGCTTTTGTGCATGACAAGGGAGTCCTTAGCACTGCACTGATATCAGTAGCATGAGGTAAGTTGCTTTGTTCAAGAACTGCTTACTCGAAAGTGGCTGTTCTTGACTTCAATAGTTTCCCCTTCTTAGAGAGTTAAGTGACTGTCCCTTCCTAATATGATTCAATTCATTGAAAGATTTTTTACTTCTGAAAGATCTTACTTTAAGATCAGGGTTTTGTGCTGTGTGTGATAAGTGCACAGCAGATGAGACTTTGGTACTAGGCATACTGTTTCAGCAAGAGAATTGTTTTGGGTTAGAGATTCTTTCAATGTCTTGAATGATCTTTTAGTTGATAATTATATCCAAGTTAGAGGGTATTTGTTAATCCTGGTGTTATGTAAAACTTAACCTGAAGACAAATTAATTGGCATGCCTTGTGGAGAACCTGGCTGTGAAGAGTTCTAAACTGCTTCACAGAGACTTGCAAAATACACTCTTGCTTTAGAAAAATGCATGTTTGAAAGGAATGGTGTGGTGTGGTACAGCAATTTCTCACAGCCATCTGTAGCAATCTTAATACAGATGTGATATCCCCCTGTGCGAGTGAAATGTCTGTTGAGTAAGTAAGATAAGTTTATTCAAATTATCCTAAAAGAAAAGCAATCAAAATGAGAAACATGATCGGCCCTTGAAACAGTTTTGTGACTTGCAAGTGGAAATGAACATTGAATTGTGTTTTGAATATTGTAGGGCTCTGCAGTGCTATGGCTAGCTCCCACTTCACGTTTAAGGAATGCATGAAATCTAAGCTTTTATCCCTTACAATAGTCAAAACTTGTGTGAGTCAAAACTTTTGTCATGTTTCACTATGCTAATTGAAAAAAAAAATTATCAGCATGTCCTCTAAAGCTAAATCTTTCACAGTAGTAAAACTCAGATAAGACCTTTTTTAATCAATTAATTCCCTTTTATTTCTTTTAGTAAATGAACATACTTTGGATGGAAAGTGGGAAACAGGTAAGACTTTGCAGTGCCGTCTTAGACTGGATGTTTGGTAGCCCTGTCATTCTATGAGTCTAATGTTGATCCATGCCCTTGGATTTGTGCTGGTACAGAACCCAGTGCAGAGTTCAAGGCTAAGGAACATGTAAATATTTACAAATCACTGTGTGGGTGCTTGTTGAGTTGTGGTTGTGGATTTGTCACTTAAAGCTCTTAAATTATATACCTGGTTAGTGGAAAGAAGGTAGTAATAGGTGGTGTCAGTTTTCCTCTTAAACAATGGATTTTTTTAATTACTGTGAACATGTTCCCTTTAAACGATGCTAGTATGTTACGGCTAGGGTAGCATACATCATTTTTTTCCTGTCTTGAATCCATTTTTTTCTGTCTTCTGGTTTAGAAACAATTTAATATTTTCTTACCAGTACTTAAGTCAATTAAACTGCATGAACCTCATGGCATTTTAGACAAGTTCTAAAATGCATTTGATATTAAACTGTTTTAGCTATTTGATGTTTCAAATGCATTTTAGCTATAGAAATCAGTTTACATGTGCTGTGAGCAGAAACAGTTACAGACAAATCTTACTATTATTACAAATATTCTGTGACTCATTTTCAACATTTTGGGTGTTGGTGGACTGATGCTAGTCTGTTAATCAGATGGTTGACAAAACAATTCTAGCTTGGTCCTACAGAAATGCTGTGACCTAGGCTGCTGCTAAGTCCTATGCAAGTACTATGAAATTCTTTCTTCAAAGACAAGAGATATTGTGGTCCACCGGGACCCTGGTGACGTCCCCGCTGTCCCCGCAGGTCCTGGACAAGCTCCTGCTCTACCTGCGCATCGTCCACTCGGTCGACTACTACAACACGTCGGAGTACGTCAACGAGGACGAGATGCCCAACCGCTGCGGGATCGTCCACGTGCGGGGGCCGCTGCCGCCCAACCGCGTCTCGCACGGCGAGGGTACGCGCGGGTGACGCCGCCGCGCGGTTGTGTCCCGGTGACGGTCGCGGTGACGGAGCGGCGCCTTTGAGGGGCGGTTGTTGCCGTTGCTGAGTGTGCGGGAGCTGCTCCCGGGTGCGCGGTTGTGCGTGCAACGACACTCCGGGTGACATTTTGGGTGACACTTCGGGTGGCATTTTGGGTGACATTCTGGGTGACACTCCAGCTGACATTTTGGGTGACACTCGGGTGACCTTTTGGGTGACACTCCAGCTGACATTCTGAGTGACACTCCAGGTGACATTTCGGGTGACACTGCAGGTGACATTTCAGGTGACATTCCAAGTGACACTCCGGGTGACATTTTGGGTGACACTTCGGGTGGCATTTTGGGTGACATTCTGGGTGACACTCCAGCTGACATTTTGGGTGACACTCGGGTGACCTTTTGGGTGACACTCCAGCTGACATTCTGAGTGACACTCCAGGTGACATTTCGGGTGACACTGCAGGTGACATTTCAGGTGACATTCCAAGTGACACTCCGGGTGACATTTTGGGTGACACTCCAGGTCACATTCCAAGTGACACTGCGGATGACATTCCCAGTGTCCCTGCAGTCACTGACTGTCAGAGGACTTTGAGGAGCGGTTGTCACCGTTGCTGAGTGTGTGGGAGGCCCTCCTGGATGCACAGTTGTGTATCCAGCAACACTCTGGGTTACCGTGTGGGTGACACTCCAAGTGACACTCCAGGTGACATTTTGGATGACACTCCGGGTGACCTTTCAGGTGACACTTCGGGTGGCATTTTGGGTGAGGTTACTCTTGTACTTAGCAGATGCCTTCAAGTATAGATGCGTGTAGGATATTCCATAGGGATAAGCAAATAAAACTTGAAAGTATTGATAGAGTGGTATTAAGTGAGATATGTTGAATAGCATATGTGCACTGAACTAGTGTCTGCTGGTGTGTTTTGAATTACTGGGGATTACAGTCTCTTCACTGGTCAGAAATTCAAGATGTATGGAGGAGAGCTAATTCACATGAGGCACAGCTTTAGCTTAGAACTAGGCCCTAAGCTTCAAGTAATACCTGCATTAACCCCCTTTAATCAGATAATACTCAACACCAAAGGATGTTGAATAGTCACATTATTAAATATAGTAGTTCGATCACTGGGGAGTAGTGTGAACACAGCAGTACAAATAAAGAAAAGTTGTTGCAGCTTTTAATAGACTAGAAAGAAGATACAAAAGAGGCTAATGCCTTCTCTGCAAATATGTATTTAAAATAGTTATATTTAGGATCTCAAGCTTTGGTCTTTTTTCCCCTTATTTAAAAGGAATGCACATGGTTTATCTGGTCTGGTGAGGGCCATGGTTGCATGTGTTAAGCACTCCCATGTAGCCTTGCAAAGTTTGGGTGGACTCCTGTGTTTCCCACTCATCTGATGCATCCTATGCAGAGGTGATGCAGTTTTACCTACTGTAAACTGCTTTTGGGCATTCATATTATTACATGTTACAATGTCAATTTTGAAAGCAGGATTCATTTAAGAGAGGCAAATAATTCACTGGGCTCTAGGTAGTTCATAAGAAGTACAAATGAAATACTTTTTTAATAGAAGAACCTTCCAAATCAAGCTCGTGGGGTCAATAATCTCAAAATGATCTTCCTAGAAAATGTTTTTTTTTAAACTCTTGACTGTTTGTCATTTAAGCTTTCTTGAAAAAGAATGGAAAAATACTAGTAACTTTAACGGATAGAAAAGGGTGAGGCACTGAGTGTTAGTGTGGGTTGCCCTCAAGTCATAGCAATAGGTAACCCCCATGAATGTGGTGGTTACAATGTTTTAATAGAAACAATATTAGGAATAGCAATTCCTTAGTATGTTACTGCTTTTGGTAGTCTTTGATTGAGAAGGGATTTATTGGAAACCAAGTCTTAGATTGTCACCTGGTAACGTTTATGAATTTCACCTAACTGCCTTTCGGGTTGGGGGTTTTTTTAAAGTGTGTCCCTGTGGAATTTCATCCTCATTTGACATTTGTTTCCTTTTATATTTTTAGACTTTGCTTTCTACAAAGGCTGAGGCTAATGAAACCGTTGCAGAAGTAGATAAAAGGCATCCTGAGCACTGGAAAAAAAATATGTATATATGTGTAAATACATATATATTTTTATCCCAAGAATTGACCATTGGCGAGCAGGATTGTCGTGTTTTCCTTTATTAAAAACTGCTATCTTTCTTGCTGGTTAGTGTGCTGTTCATGCACAGATTATAAGTAAAGCCAAGTTCTGAGCTGAGGCAGAAGTAGGATGAGCGTATCTGTAATGCTGCTTAATATAGTGGATTTTTAACAAGTGGCCAAAAAAAGTGTGAAGGTAGCACTTGACAAGGCACAGATGATGGTGGTTTATCCTTGTGCTCACTGGGTTAGAAGACAGCTTGTTATCTAATGAAGCTGCCAGACTTGAAATGGACCTGCATTAAGGCGAACACGCTCCAGTGCCTTTCGTGAGGCTCTCATTTGATTGTACTGGAGTTACAACCCTGCTATCATTTTCTGGCAATTGTTGCTAGCTGTTTGTTAGGCCAGGCATCATTTGGGGTGATTTGATAACCGGTTTCCATCCCAGGTAATAGATCTCTTTGACAACAGATGACCTCAGATGTGCATCTCCTGTGCAGTGTCGGCTCTAAGTAGACGATTGGGTTTGATTCTTTCCCTTTTCAGTGTTTTCCACCTGGTTTAACAACCACAGTAAATATGACAGTGCAAGTGGGTTAATATTGTTAAATTATATATTATTATATAAATACATATAATATACATATTGTTAAATTACAAGGAGGGCAAAGTTGATTTTTAAGGGTGTCAATGGTAGTTCTTACATAGTTGATTTCACTGTTTCCTTCATAGTTTGAATCCTACTACAGTGCAGACATGGGAAGAGAAGTTTTCTTTTTTTTTCTTTTTTTTTTGAGACTATATAGATATATAATATTACACTAAGTATTTTACTATATATTGAATACTATGAGACAGCTGCTAAATGAACACTAAACACAAGGTGCAGTATCTGAGATGTGTTCAATGAATACTCTTCAATAACTTGAATGCAGGTAAAGCAAAACTGCAGAGAGAACACATCCTGGAGTTGGAGATGTGATTTCTTAGCTTTTCAGCTCCCTTAAGAGTAATCACAATTTTCTGCCTCTTATTGTTTTACCATATGAATAGCTGTCATGGGACTCAAGACACAAGACCACGTGAAGATACCCTGCATAAAGTCAAAATCAAAACCTTCTCCTGTGGCCATCTTCAACCTGTAACAACTTCAAGAGCAAACATAGCCTGCTTTTAAGCCATGCCGCATGGAAGAAAGGAGCTCAGATTCTCAAAGAGATGGTGCAAAGTCATCTTTTAGCCAGCAGAGGACTGTAGAACCACATACACAGCTGTTCATGCAGAAGTGTTCAGTCATGAAGAGTAAACACAAAATCTGTGTAGCAAACAATGCAGAGGAGAGATTATCTTAAAATACTGAATTATTTACATGGATACATGGTAAAATAAGTGAACAGTGAGGGTTGTTTTCATTCTTTGGTCCTCACTAAGGAATTTAATTTGCCATTCATCTTCCCTGACAAAGTAGGGCCATTTTATTTTTATTTTGAAGAGCACTGAGCAGTACTGCAAAAGCCAAGTGCAGTGAATCTTTGGGGGGGGGGTATCATGGCACTACGCATGCAGAAATGGTGGTTCAATCCCAAGAGGAAAGTTGCTTTGTTGTGAACATTGTTTCTGCACAAACAAATAGCACAACCTCCTATTCTGTTTAGATAAAACAAAACAGGCCATATGTTGCTGCCGTGAGAGTTTGGATGTTTAAATTAAATGTAGTTTAATGAATATTCCAACCCACTTCCTCAAAGGTTGTGCTCAGTGTAGCATCTTTTTCCTCCACCTTTGATCTCGCATGGCTTACTAAGCTGTTACAAGAGTACTAAAACTGAGGCATCTAACTGAAATATAGACTGCCTTATTGATGCATTTCCCT